AACATTCTCAACAGGTTCTGTAAGATCTGATTTTATTTTCACAGACTGGGTGAGATATCACTAATTGCTGCAAGGTAGAGAGAAGTAAAGAATATAAATAGAAAAGAGGGTTATAGAGGTAAATTCTTCTTTTGAGACAGTTTGCATGCTCATCTTTCTTCGTTTTCTGGTGGTCTAGAGACTTTTCTACCTGGCAGTCAGAAGGCCTGACTTCTATTATAAACTTGCATGACTCCAAAAAATTACAATGTTCAGAGTAGTCCATGTGATTGAAAATCCATTTATGACAGTACTGTTTCCAACTTGTCACAGTGAGAAAGATTGATAAACACGTAGTACAATGGATGAACAAATCTTCTCTATTTAGACATGCTCCAAGTAACTCAGCATCTTTCTTTAAAAACCAGGGATGTAATATCACATGTTTATTAGAGCTGCTCAACAAAGACAACCTGTAAATTAATGTCTATTTTCTTACCAGGCTTAGACTGACCAAAGCAAAATTAACTAACTGTGCTCAGTCATCTGAACATTTAGAAAAGATAGCAGCTCCATCAAAATGTTGCTATTCAGGCTAATAGAATAGCAAGACTCTGTGGGTAAGGAAAAAAACCTTGCACAAAAAATAGTCTCTACACTTACAGTAACAGGTCAGATTAATATAATTACTCATAGTTTAACTTTGGAAGGAAAAGAACTCAATTCCACGTTTAGAATCATAGAATCATAGAATAGTTAGGGTTGGAAAGGACCTTAAGATCATCTAGTTCCAACCCCCCTGCCATGGGCAGGGACACCTCAAGCTACATCATATCACACAAGGCCTCGTCCAACCTGGTCTTGAACACCGCCAGGGATGGAGCATTCACAACCTCCTGGGCAACCTATTCCAGTGCCTCATCACTCTAACAGGAAAGAATTTCCTCCTTATATCCAAACTAAACTTCCCCTGTTTAAGTTTTAACCCATTACTCCTTGTCCTTTCACTACAGTCTCTAATGAAGAGTCCCTCCCCAGCATCCCTATAGGCCCCCTTCAGATACTGGAAGGCTGCTATGAGGTCCCCATGCAGCCTTCTCTTCTCCAGACTGAACAGCCCCAACTTCCTCAGCCTGTCTTCCTACGGGAGGTGCTCCATTCCCCTGATCATCCTTGTGGCCCTTCTCTGGACTTATTCCAACAGTTCCATGTCCTTTTTATGTTGAGGGCACCAGGACCGCACACAATACTCCAGGTGAGTTCTCACAAGAGCAGAGTAAAGGGGCAGGATCACCTCCTTCGACCTGCTGGTCACGCTCCTTTTGACGCAGCCCAGGATACTGTTGGCTTTCTGGGCTACAAGCACACACTGCCAGCCCATGTTCATTTTCTCATCAACCAACACCCCCAAGTCCTTCTCCACAGGGCTGCTCTGAATCTCTTCTCTGCCCAACCTGTAGCTGTGCCTGGGATTGCTCCGACCCAGGTGTAGGACCTTGCACTTGGCATGGTTAAACTTCATGAGGTTGGCATCAGCCCACCTCACAAGTGTGACAAGGTCCCTCTGGATGGCATTCCTTCCCTCCAGGGTATCAACCGAACCACACAGCTTGGTGTCATCGGCAAACTTGCTGAGGGCGCACTCAATCCCACTGTCCATGTCAGCAATGAAGATGTTAAAGAAGACCAGTCCCAACACCGACCCCTGAGGGACACCACTCGTTACTGGTCTCCAGCAGGACATAGAGCCATTGACCACAACACTTCGTGTGCAGCCATCCAGACAAGTCTTTATCACCCAAGTGGTCCATCCATCAAATTGATGTCTCTCCAATGTAGAGACAAGGATGTCGTGTGGGACAGCGTCGAACGCTTTACACAAGTCCAGGTAGATGATATCAACTGCTCTACCCCTGTCCATCAGTTCTGTAGCCCCATCATAGAAGGCCACCAAATTGGGCAGGCAGGATTTCCCCTTAGTGAAGCCATGCTGGCTGTCACCAAGCACCTTGTTGTTTTTCATGTGCCTTAGCATGCATTCCAGGAGAATCTGCTCCAAGATTTTGCGAGGCACAGAGGTGAGACTGACTGGTCTGTAATTCCCCGGGTCATCCATTTTCCTTTTCTTGAAAAACAGGGTTATATTTCCTTTTTTCCAGTCATTGGAAATGTCACCTGACTGCCATGGTTTTTCAAATATGATGGCCAGTGACTTAGCAGCTTCATTCACCAGCTCCTCCATCCCTAGCCAAGTTTAATTCTAAGTGAGCCTTAGCTTTCCTAACATGGTCCCTAGCTTCCCGGACAACATCCCTGTACTCTTCCCAGGCCACCTGTCCTTGCTTCCACCTTTTATAAGCCTCTTTTGTCATTTGAATTTTCCTCAGCAGCTCCTTATCCATCCAAGGAGGTCTCTGGCTCTCCTGCTGCACTTCCTTCTAGTTGGGATGCAACACTCCTTAGCTTGTCGCAGGTGACCCTTGAATACCAACCAACAGTCTTGGGCCCCTCTGCCCTCTAGGGCTGTATCCCATGGAACCTTCCTAAGCAGGTTCCTGAGGAGGCCAAAGTCTGCTCTTTTGAAGTCCAGGGCAGTGAGCTTGCTGCACGCTCTTCTCACTGTCCTGAGGATCTCAAATTCGAGCATCTCATGATCGCTGCATCCAAGGCTGCCCTGAAGCTTCACATTTCCAACGAGCCCTTCCCCTGTTGGTGAGCACGAGGTCAAGCATGGCACCTCTCCTTGTCGGCTCCTCTATTACTTGCAGAAGGAAGTTGTCTTCTACACAGTCGAGGAACCTCCTGGATTGCTTGTGCCGGGCTATACCGTCCTTCAACAAATGTCAGGTTGGTTGAAGTCACCCATGAGAAAAAGGGCCTGTGAGCGTGAGGCTTTTCCTATCTGTCTATGGAGTGCTTCATCTGCAGGTTCTCCTTGATCAGGTGGTCTGTAACAGATCCCCACAGTAATATCTCCCATAGCTATATTCCCTTTAACCCTGACCCACAAACTCTCTGTGGACTGCTCAGCTGTCCCCAGACAGAGTTCCATACTCTCCAGCCTATCCCTAACATAAAGGGCAACTCCCCCTCCCCGCCTGCCAGGCCTGTCTTTTCTAAAGAGCCTGTAACCTTCCATTCCAACACTCCAGTCATAGGAGCCATCCCACCATGTTTCTGTGATGCCTATTATATCATACCCCCGTAGACGTGCACACATCTCTAATTCCTCTCGTTTGTTCCCCATGCTACGGGCATTTGTATAGAGGCATCTGAGCCGAGCTCCAGCTGAAGCCGGCTCATTGGCTGGAGCGGCTGGGATATCTCTACATTGCTCCAAGCATTTATTATAGGTTCTGGCAACTGACTGGGTGTGTTGGGATGGAATGATGCCCCCCTCCCCCAACACATCTAGTTTAAAGCCTCCTTGACCAGTCTGGCAAGCCTCCTACCAAAACTGCTCTTTCCCTTCTTTATCAGACCAGCTCCACCAGCCCCCACTAGACCTGGCCTACAAACTTGGGTCCCGTGTTCAAGACATGCAAGCCCCTTGCTATGACACCACCCTTTTAACCAGTTATTAACCTGTCCAATCCTCCTAGCTTTTTTTAGTTACTCCCCTGTATCCTGGAGAATTGAAGAAAAGACTGTCTGAGCTCCAGAGCCCCTAACCACCTCCCCCAGGGCTCTGTAGTCCTTCTTTATTAGGTAGGCAAAAATGAAATATTTGCCAGCTGTGTACTTTCGCTAAAACTGAGTGGAGGTACAAAATTTTGGGCAGCCTTGCTGCTGATTGTCTTGACATCTGTTTCCCATATTTGCTAGTTGTTTTGAAGTTCTTACTATCAATGCTTTAAGTACACACAGGCATATATATTAATGTACACTGGAGACAGATTCAACCTATTAGAAATTTAGGTACAACAGGGTTATAAATGTTACTTGATACCTTATAAAGCCCAAGATACCTGACCAGTGCATAGGCTCTGTTGCTTGATGTAGTCAGGTGATAACATATGTACACTCATGCTGCCTACTTCAGCGAGTGTCAAAAGTTCATGCTAAGTACTACATAAATTATCACCTAATTAAGCGCTGTTATGGTTTGGATTGGGAGGGAAGTGTAAACTTGATTCTCCTTAGAGAGCTGTATGCAGAAATATGATGTAGAATTAATTTTACGAATAAAGGTCAAAGATCGAAGTCTGAACGTATTTATTGGAAGAAGGAACTGGAAGGGAATCTTGACTTCCTTAATTAAATCCTTTTCTGCTCACGAAAATACTAAGAGGTTAATTTGGTGTTATGTGTACTTCCCATTATATTGTAGAGATGTCAGGAGCACTGTTCTGTTACTGGCACAGTTTATACATTATAGGATTTCTGAACTTCCCATTGCTACTCTTACATCAGTAGTTACTGAATCATAATTTAGGAATGACAAAAGAAACACTCACCTGACTCACCTGGACATTGGAGTTCAGGATTAAAAGATTAAGCTGTTATTGAATGCTCTTGTGTGAAGACATCAAATGTGTATATCTGTGTCTGTCAGTTTACTATATTAATAGCAACCATATAAATATTTTATTTGTGTGTTAGACCTGAAGATACATGTACTTTTGCTGGGCAAGTGATGATATTGATCTGGCTGGCTAAGAATTTTAACATATAGAATCTGATATCTGCATCACTTCAAGGAAATATTTTCAGACATCTAGGAACCAGGGAAAGATTAAAAATAATTTTAGCTATAATTTATTTGGACACATCACACAAAATAAACTATTTCTCTCTCCCATTTGTTCCAACAGTTTATGTGACTGTATTAGAACATACATAAACATGAAAAATGTCTGTTTCTGTGATTGTACCACTGTTTCCTTCAGCTTTTGAGTTGTACCTTTTGAGGAGGCCTCATTCAATAATGAAAGTTTGTGGTTCACGCAGAGATGTCTACAAAGCCTCTCATGACGCTTTAGATTGCAATGTTCTTCAAGACAAGGACAGCACCTTTCTATGTTTTACAGACTTACCAAAATGTGGATATACTGGTGGGTGACATTCTTTGGCAGTACTAGATCTTAAATGATGTGAAATGTGATAATATTCATGGTCCCTGGAAGAGAGGGAAATAGTCAAAGATACAGAACTAAAGTGAGAAACTTTAAGTCAGGATAACCTTTAAGAAGCTCTTTGTATTTTCAGGAAATGAAGAGATTCTAAAGCAATCTCTGGTACTGCCATCAAAAACACCAAGGAATTCAACATTAGCAGTATGACAGTTACAACACTGATTCAGAAAAGCGTATGCTAATTTTTTTTTCTCCAAATAGACAGCTACCAGCTGAAGGCAGCTGAACACCTAGAGCCATCTGTGTTAAAACAACACTTGCAAGTGGAAAGAAACACTAAGTAGAAGGGGGGAGGGGAGGGGGAATAGCCAAACACAAAGAAGCAAGGTAGCCAAAAAGGCAGTTTTGTATCCCAAAATGCCTCTGACATTTCTCCTTGTCTGCACTTCAGGAAGACAGAGTGGGGGAAATGCCAGCAGTGCAATGGTTTTTGTGGCAAGCAGTATTCCACATTGCAAATACCACTGATACCACAGCTAGCGCTGCAGGTACCTGGTGCAAAGATCCCAGGGGCTACACCATGGTAGAGACCAAATTACCTCTTCTCTTCCCCAGGTAAAGTCTGAAGCGTGTTGGCATATGTGTGTTGGAAAATTTGTATTGGCATTACCAATACCAAGAAGAGGCTTCCCTTGCTATATTGTGTCTGAACTAGATATGCATTTGAACTGTTGACTGCAGGAGAGAGAAGTTGTCTGAAGAGTTTTCCAAGATCTTCAGTGGCACTGAACTGCCTCAGCACTGGTATAAGTAGTAATATTTTCACTGCCTTCTATAGAGTTTTGTTCTTTATGTCTGTTTGTTTTGAATGATGTACATATGACTTTTTTACTAAAAATAGCTAAAGTGTTGCCAAGCTGGAGATGCCGCCCAAAAACTAAGACCAGCCCAAAAGGCTCTAGGATTTTTTATGTCTTTGCTGTCACACTTGAATGTCACACAGAAAAGTGGAATAGCCAAATTTTACTTTATCCCTGAACTCTATATTTGTATATAATGTCCTCCATTGTAGTGCTGTGGTACCTCTATGCTAAAAACTTGCATATTCTGCTAATTTCAATATGCATTAGTACCACAGAATCAGAATAATTAGTGCCAATAATTAATTTTAACATCTCAGCATTTTTCTGATGCTGTTATGTGAGCAGTATTGCCCTACAATGATCGCAGCCTTCTTCAGACAGCAGACTGCTTCATACAATGTTTAGAAACTGTGTGAAGTGCTGTTTTTAGGAGTGTGGGTAAGGCAATGAGGAGAGGGCTTATGGGCTGCTTTCCTGGTTTCTGAAACACTTCAAATACTGCAGCCTAATGATGCTTAACTGATCAAGGCTTGTAAAATGAGCAGTGTTACAGAAATGCGAAGCATTATCTTATTATTAACACGGTATCAGAGGTGTTCCCCAAAGCTTCATAGCAATCTCACATAACAACCTTCTTCAACCCTGCAAGAGCTAAACAATGGTCAAAATGCAGTTCTGGGTGGATGTTTTCCAGGGCTAATTGCCTCCAACTACTGACAAGCCCTGCTTCTTTCTTATGGACTGAGAACCTGCTTTTGTTCATTGCAATGTTCAGGTAACCCTGACAGAGTATCCAGGAATCACTTGAAAACTTTGTCATGGTTATTTGGTCAGGCTGCTCTGCTGCATTGGGTCTATGGATAGCTATATCCTGCTGGTAGAAGAAAAGCTGCTTTAAACCGTTATAAGGTGGGTGATGATCTGTAAGCTGTCCCAAAGGAGCAAAATCATTGGTGGATCTGCAGTATCTGTTTCTCCCCTTCTATACCAAAGGGAGACTTGGATTTCATTTACTTCAGTGAATTAACAGTTAAGGTTCCATCAATTATCTGTAGTGCATGGTCTACTCCTGGCTCTGCCATTTATTACCTTTGTCATTGTGAGCCAGACATACTGCTTGGTGCCCCAGTTTTCTCACCTACATTGTAAAGACATCAAGGGATGCGAGGCCTGCGTAGGTTTTGATTTTAGTGTTGGTTTTTTCTTTTTTGACAGGGAACAACAAAAAAGCAGAGCAAGAATTCTCCCTGAGTGTCTATTTTCTGTATGCAAAAGCCAGCCAATTGCATCAGTTTTAAGTTTTGTTAAAAGGCAGGCTGGATGATGCAGAAAATCTGATGACATGAAAGAAACTCCACAGCCTGCTCTTTTGAGGTCTTGTGTAAAGAAGAACACATGCGCCTTCGGCCTGAATTTGGTTTACTGATCTTTCAGTTCCTCATCTGAATGCTTAGGATCAGTCTGTGTGCTAGAAATCCTACTGGACTCAGCCAGTGTGTCTGCAACGCTTCTTTCAGCAAACGCAAACCAAGTTTAAGGGCCTGGAAAACAATACAGCAATTTGCTGGCTCAAAAGCAAAAATAAACCATTCACAGTATGCCACATTAGCTCTTAACTGTCTCCAGGAAGTGAAATGTTTGACAGGGAAATATATTTGCTTGTGGTCTCATTTGATTCATGTTTCAAGGAAAGAATTGAAGTCATACCCCCAGGGGAGAACATACATCAATCAAGGGGAGGACATTGCAGTCTATGGGATGTCATCTTCCTGCACCCTCCTCCCTGCTTCCCTGGGGAGGCAAAGCACCATAGTAGCATTAAGGAGCTTTTAGAAAAGGTATATGCTGGGTTTTTGTCCCTCAGTACTGACAGGGGTGTTTTATATGGCAAAAGAAACACGTTGCTCCCTCTCCAAGTTACAGCTCTGAATAATCTTGTTAGGAAGCAGGAGATACTTCCTGAACTATTTAAGAAAAGGTGACATGTCTTCTTAATCTCTGTTCCTTCTTGCCGTAGGATACGCTGATCACTGTTTGCTCTCCCCAAGTCTTTGTGCCCAGCATGACTAACCTGATGAGCCAGACATTCAGATATCAACGGCCCAGTACTCCTAAGGTATACAGCAAGTAGTGTGATTGTGTGGGATAAAACGGATGGGATAAGCATAAATTAGGTGTAGAAATCTTTCCATACTGAGAAGGTATGATTTCATTGTGGTGGACTTCTTTGCACCTAACTTTCCACCTCTTGTCTCCTCCCAGTAGGAAAAAATGAAGCAGAGACTTCCAAAGAGTTACTATAAAAATGGAACAACTCCATAAGTTTGTGGAATTACTCGCATGTAAAAATGCATGCCAGAAGAGCCTGGGTCCTGAGTGTAGGTGGTGACTTATAAAATACAGCTGATAGAACACAATCCAGTTTCTAATTTCTGATTTGGTTCCTAATCTGTTTTCTCCATCTGATGGCTGATCTGTTGTATCATGGAAGAATGCCTTCTCAAACTAACCTCAATATTAGCTTTCTTGAGACAGAATAGTAAAACTTAGTCTTAAAAGTAGAGATAAAATGTTTAGAGAGAAATGGAAGGACTTTGCTGATGCTCCAGTCCATGAGCCATCATAAGTGTTGTCTTTTTTTCTTTGTCTCAACTTCTAATTCTGCTAGTTTTTTCTTTCTTCTTTCTGACATGGAGAGTATCAGAGCAGTATAAAAAACCTACCACTGAACTGTACGTGTAGCACCTCTCCACACTGCTGTGATTGATGAGGAGGTAACTCTGGAGCTTCATGAAAATGATGAGTGTTTCTGTTCTTGTGCCCAAAATACTTCTTAAACTATTTTAAGCAGGCAAGCAGATATGCTAAAACACTAAAAATAAATATTTAAAAATACTTGACCTCAAAATACCGATCCATCAGAAGCAGAAGTGTAAAAGGACCTTTAAAGGGATCTTTTCCTTGTATCCTACCCAGAGCAGAACCTCAGATTTACAGACTTGTGGTTAAGGCAGATCTAGACTGAGTTGCCACCTCAGTTGGCACCATTTTTCAGGTGTCTTGTCCTCTTGGCATACGTGTTGCAAGTCTCAGCACAGCATGGGGGTTTCCAATATTTTCTTAATGAGGTAGTACAGTTCACAAAGGCTCTCTTACAGGTCATAGCCCATGAGGAAGAGATGTTTGCTGTGAACACTGCCTCTTACAGAGTTGTTGTGGCCATGGCGGGAACTGTGTTTTTGTACAAATCTGAGATTTTACCCACACAGAAGCATGTTCCCCTTTTGAAAAGCACTAATCCTGCCATCAGCTTATTCTCTTGACTTTATTTACTCCCTTACAGCTGTTCTGGTTTTGTTTTTGGTTTGGGTGTTTTGTTTTGTTTTGATGTCACAGCAGGGAAGGAGCCAGCTTTTTGTGGTTCACCAGCTTTTTGTGGAGTGACAGGAACTGGACCACAGCTTGGGTACCTCAGCAGGCAGAGGTCTCTGCTCCTCTGAAAGGAGCATCAGATGGAGCATTAAAGAAGAGTGTGTTCTCACAGCTGCCCAGCACTATCAACACTAACCAGAGGATGATCTGTATTTCTGCTGCCCTGTGCCAGATGGCAGCATTTTGATATGCCAGTCTTCATTGCAGTGTGCTTTGTGGTTATGGCAAAACTTCATCCTGAAATAGCTGCTTGGTTTTTGACATTCAGCTATGGCCCATTTATTTGGGTATTTCAAGCTGCAAATTTCAGCTGAACCCATAAGCAGCAACTGGTTTTAAGAAATGAGGAAAGATTTTCCCAGCTATTTAAAAGCTGGGCAGAATGATGCAGTGTTTGCAGATAGCTTCCCCCATGTTGAATGAAACCCAGTGATCTGTTGCTGTGGGGGTTTACACATTTCAATGTACATCTGTAAATATACATACAGTCAGAAAATACTTTGAATGCCCACATAAACCAAATTGTCTTGTCGAATGTTATAAATACAGAAGATTTTCAATAACAGTGAATGATTTGTGTTTTAATTTACAACTTAGTATTGCAAAGAACCTGGTCTCTTAAGGAAGTTTATGATCTTAAGATCAAAGCCCAAATCTATTCTTAAAATTGGTATTTTGGACCCTTTCTGTTCTTAAGACATGTAATGTTTCATTAAAAGGCAAATATCACCATGAATACAGATTATATCAGGACATGAGCTTGATTTTGTCTTATGCTGAGGGTTATATCTAGTCCTCAAAGGCACTGGTACAGAAAGGAGAATTGCCAGATATAAATAATGGCATATAAGAGCAAAACAGTAGTCTTAACATAAGATCAGGCAGCGCTTCAGGCATGATGCTGAGCAAATGCACCCCTGCTTCATATAGAATACACTCCTGGTTGCTGCTGGGACATGTTTAGCTGAGTTTCAGTGGTTGTCTAGGGTTGCAGAGGGCTGGGCTTTAGCTCCTTTTTGTTTCTAAGTGCAACTGTTTATTTTTGCATAAGTTCACCTTTTCCCTTGTCAGTGATCTTGGTGTATTGGGAAGACCTCCTTCAAATTCATGAAGAAGCAAAGCCCAAGAGCAGTAGAAACAGGGCCATTGTATGTCTTGAATGCTGGGATTGAGGAAGAAAACTAATTCACAAAATCTCTTCAAAAGAGAGGGGTTCCTTTCCCCATTGCAGAAAGTGAGAACACTGTAACATGTAGCAAGTGATCTGCGGTGATGCTTGCTTGCTACACAAAATAATTTCAATGCATGTCTCTCGGCTAACTCAGCCACTGTGTTCAGGATGTTTTGTGACACCACAAAGCAGCTGTTCTTTACTCTTCTGACTGAGACATTTATATTCAACCCTGACATTTTAATCTAATAAAAAAAAAAAAAGCTTTTTACCTCCTTGCAGTATAAACAGAGAACCTCTATATAATGGGCATCTGTGGAATATGGAATTAATCCCACTAGTGCGGAAAAACCTTCATAACTCTCTTGCGGCTTCATCACTCTTTGAGTTATGAGGTCTTCCTCTCACTTGTGGGATAAAGTCCAAATCCCACAAAAGCTTATTATGTGTCCACTATTTATTAAAACTTCATCATTTAAAACAAAACACTTAAGAAAGACACTGGGAAACATTTAAAATCAAAGAGGTTTCAGTTTGAGGAATATTTGTTGTATTTGAAGGTTTTTCAAAGCAGAGAAGAAAAAGTTCATTTTAGTCGTGATAACCACTGAACTTGCTGCTTCTGCTTATTTTTCTTTTTTCTTTTTCTCCATGGAGAGATTCTGAATGTTTTTCCTTTCTCTCCTACATGATTTTATAAATCTTTTAGTATCCTTGTGAAGACTTCACTTATTTTTCTCTGTCTTGAAGCCCAATGACTATTTTGTAAGTGAGAGCCCTTGTTCCCTGGCTTATGGATGTAAGTGTATATACTTGCTGTGCTTTGACTTACACAAAGTCCTTTAAATGACACTCACTCTTTTGCAGAACTGCAACATAACACAAATATACTAGCTAAGGTTCAAATTTAGTAGTTTAGCAGCACTAACATTTTGTACTGAGGTTGTTCTAGAGCTAAGAAGGTTGGGCAGGAGGTAGGCAAACCTGAGCTTGCTTTAAAACTCCTTTATATATTATGTCTGGTTACATTTAAATCTCTTTGTCTCCTCTTGCCTTAATTTTCACAGACAGACTGTTAGAATGCTGATTCTTATTCTCCCTCCCCAATATTTCTTTATGGTCTCTCTGCATCTCAAAGTAGAAGCTAATGTCCAACAAGTCATTTGATATAATGCAAATGAACATAACTGTTATATTAGCCACACTGCATGGGAATGAATATTATTACTTAATTTTAATAATTTATGATATAGTTTTATGCAAGAATCTTTACAGTCATTATTTTACAAAGTAAACATAAGACTAGGTTAATTTAATTTTAATTGCCTAGATGTATTTTAAGTTATGCAAATGATATTATTGTTATTGATATGCTAAAAATATTTCAAGTTTTCTCTTCCTGGATTTGTAGCACTTTTCTCCATGTCTTCCTATTAGAAAGGAATAACTGTTATCACCTGTATAACTCTCTCTCCCTCCACTCCCAAAAGTAACTAATTTTCAAACAGTTGTGATATGTAGGCAACTCTATCTTACACCTGGACATGGGTGAGGCAGAGGGGTTTAATTTACTACTCCAGTGTCCTGTACCTCAGTGACAGTACTTGGATGAGAAGCCAGAAGTTGCTGTCTGCCAGCCCTGAGCTCATGGCATGGCCCTTATGGCAAAGTTAGTTGATGTTGTGTTCTGAAATAGGCAACTTCTTTTTCACCATCTTACAGAGAAGTAATAGTGAGGTGAGAATACCGAAACATTTGTACGGTACGTGTGGAGCAGATCTGGCATCATCACCTTCCTGAATCTTGTCAGATACCTGCATTCTGCAGGCCCTGTGCTCTTGTTCTGCTAGTACTGAGGTTAGATGAAAAGTACAGTACAGTTAAAAGATGTGTGCCTGGAAGACTGATGGCATTGCACTTCTTTACCCCTTAGAATGAAATGTTAAGGTAAGACAATAGACTGACTCTGGGGAGTGGGGAAAGAAGAGGATCACTCTGACATTTGGAAGACAGGGGGCATGATGTATTATTCTTTAGCTCTGGAAAATCAGATAAATTTAGATAAATTTCAGGGGAGCAGCCTAATCTTGGGTGCATACTTGAACTCTGAACTATTCACTTGTTCATATGTTCTTCCAGTTAATCACTTTTCTTTCCTTACCCTTAATAGAGAAAACATGATCTGAATTTAAGGCAGACAGGGGAATAAAGAACAAACAGCCATAGCTGCTGGCTGTTTCTACCGAAGCTAAGGGCTACTTCTAGTAGTCTCCAGTGAGAACTCAGGATGGGCCTCCTTTTATGAGAATCTGTGAGATTTAAAGCAAAAAATGTATAGGCAGTCAGAGGGCTTCTACTTGATGACAGATCTTCCTGCTCAGCATTTGCTGCTGAGTGGAACTGAATTAGCACAAAATGACCCTTTTATTCACAGGGGCAGCTCCTCAGTAGGGGTAAATTTTCTTAACTTTTTCAAAGGACTTGTGTTCAGCCATTCGAGGTTTGATCCTGGCAAAAGGTGAGCACATGCTTTCAAGCTCCACGACTTCATCTATGAATGCCACTGTCACCATGCGGCTCCTTCAGTCTTTAGCTTTCTTGTATTGTTTTACTCAGAACAGTTTCAACCCACTGGAATGGATGCTGCTGAAGTGTAGTAATGCTTTTGATGTAATTATTTTTATGTGTGAAAAATTTTGGAATGTGATGGGAAGCTTTGAGATAATTTTTTTTTAATCTTGGAATCATTTTGCCCTTTTAGCAAATTCTTTTTTTTTTCATTATTTTGAAGCATTTATTATACATGAATTCATTTTAAAAGAAATCTAGCACAATTCTGATGACAGCAATCTATTTTTTTTCCTCTGCTGAATGTGTAAACATGAAAAAATAAACAACATGAAATGTACATAAATTCAGTTTTCAAATTAAAAGAACAGAAAAGACAAGCAAAGCATGAGCTGCAGAAGCAACAGGAAGTTAAAAGGTGGCGAGAGTGAAACAAGAATGTAAATCACATTTTTTATGAGTGGCCACCCGGACGACAGAGTGCAGAAGCAGACCGGGTTGTTGTGAGAAATAACAATGAAGAGTGCACATGTAATAATACAAAGTACCTAAGAGAGGAGTAGGGCCGGGGCAGTGCTGGAGAAGGCTATCCTAGAGCAAGGCTCAGAGCAGGCTCATTGCTTACACTGCCTCCCACTTCTTTTTTGGTCCCCGTGACCCCCCTTTTCTTTTTTCTTAAATGAGGTTGGTTTTTGCTAGGGATGGTCCAAAAAAGCACCCTCTTGAACAATAAACACAAATGACTGTGGTGGTCCTGTCAACTTTGGATCTTTGTAAAATAACCAGTGATCCACAACACTTTCTGGAATTGATTTCACAGGCTTTCCCCCTACCTCCTTACTGACAGCCTGGAAAAAAAATAATTCCCCTACCACCATCAGTGAATGCTATTCATTTTCCCATTATTGTAAATTCTTACATGCAAAGAACCCTAAAGAGCTATCCCTTTGAAGCAAAGGTGATTTTGCTACTGAAGGGGTAACAAATCAAAGACTATGCTCACAAACTCTTACATTTTGAAAAGAGCACTTCCAAATGATTAAATAGTTATACATGGCAAGGACCTGAAACTGTGATGATTTATTCAGACTCCATAGCCTATAGTAAAATATAAATTTTTGTTAATAGTGGCTTAAACCATGTTAAGGACATGGTTTAGTGGTGGACTTGGCAGTGCTGGGTTAACGGTTGAATTTGATGATCTTAAAGGTCTTTTCCAACCTAAATGATTCTGTGATTCTATGATAAATGTAACATTCTCTCCTCCTCCTCCCTTCCCCCCCTTTTTTTTTCCTGAGTGCAAGACTTCCAAGATTTTTTGAAGAAAAAAAAGCATCTGTTTTTCTGTATATTTGCTTTTTTTATAGACTTCATAAATCCAGCAGGCTTCTATTTGGACCACTAGGCCCTTTCAATAGAAGCATGTTTTCACTGGGATTTCCACATTCATAATTATTCCTCTCGTTTCT